TATAGGCATAGAGGGTACATACCTCAATATCATAAAAGCCATCTATGAAAAACCTACAGCAAATATCATTCTCAATGGGCAAAAACTGAGAGCTTTCCCCCTAAGGTCAGGAACGCGGCAGGCATGTCCACTATCACCACTGCTATTCAACATAGTATTGGAAGTCCTAGCCACAGCAATCAGACAACAAAAAGAAATAAAAGGCATCCAAATCGGCAAAGAAGAAGTCAAACTCTCACTCTTTGCAGATGATATGATACTTTATGTGGAAAACCCCAAAGACTCCACCCCAAAACTGCTAGAACTCATACAGGAATTCAGTAAAGTGGCAGGATATAAAATCAATGCACAGAAATCAGTGGCATTCCTATACACCAACAACGAGACAGAAGAAAGAGAAATTAAGGAGTCGATCCCATTTACAATTGACCCCAAACCATATGATACCTAGGAATAAATCTAACCAAAGACACAAAGGATCTGTACTCAGAAAACTATAAAATACTCATGAAAGAAATTGAGGAAGACACAAAGAAATGGAAAAACATTCCATGCTCATGGATTGGAAGAACAAATATTGTGAAGATGTCAATGCTACCTAGAGCAATCTACACATTCAATGCAATCCCCATCAAAATACCATCCACTTTTTTCAAAGAAATGGAACAAATAATCCTAAAATTTATGTGGAACCAGAAAAGACCCCGCATAGCCAGAGGAATGTTGAAAAAGAAGGGCAAAGCTGGCGGCATCACAATTCCGGACTTCCAGCTCTATTACAAAGCTGTCATCATCAAGACAGCATGGTACTGGCACAAAAACAGACACATAGATCAATGGAACAGAATAGAGCCCAGAAATGGACCCTCAACTCTATGGTCAACTCATCTTTGACAAAGCAGGAAAGAATATCCAATGGAAAAAAGACAGTCTCTTCAACAAATGGTGTTGGGAAAATTGGACAGCCACATGCAGAAGAATGAAACTGGACCATTTCCTTACACCACACACAAAAATAGACTCCAAATGGTTGAAAGACCTCAATGTGAGACAGGAGTCCATCAAAATCCTAAAGGAGAACACAGGCAGCAACCTCTTTGACCTCAGCCGAAGCAACTTCTTCCTAGAAACATTGCCAAAGGCAAGGGAAGCAAGGGCAAGAATGAACTATTGGGACTTCATCAAGATAAAAAGCTTTTGCAAAGCAAAGGAAACAGTCAACAAAACCAAAAGACAACCGACAGAATGGGAGAAGATATTTGCAAATGACATATCAGATAAAGGGCTAGTATCCAAAATCTATAAAGAACTCATCAAACTCAACACCCAAAGAACAAAGAATCCAATCAAGAAATGGGCAGAAGACATGAACAGACATTTTTCCAAAGAACACATCCAAATGGCCAACAGACACATGAAAAAGTGCTCAATATCGCTCGGCATCAGGGAAATCCAAATCAAAACCTCAATGAGATACCACCTCACACCAGTCAGAATGGCTAAAATTAACAAGTCGGAAAATGACAGTTGGCGGGGATGTGGAGAAAGGGGAACCCTCCTACACTGTTGGTGGGAATGCAAGCTGGTGCAGCCACTCTGGAAAACAGTATGGAGGTGCCTCAAAAAGTTGAAAATAGAGCTACCATATGATCCAGCAATTGCACAACTGGGTATTTACCCCAAAGATACAAAAGTAGGGATCCGAAAGGGTACGTGCACCCCGATGTTTATAGCAGCAATGTCCACAATAGCCAAACTGTGGAAAGAGCCAAGATGTCCATCGACAGATGAATGGATAAAGAAGATGTGGTATATATACACAATGGAATATTATGCAGCCATCAAAAGGAATGAAATCTTGCCATTTGCAACAATGTGGATGGAACTGGAGGGTATTATGTTGAGCGAAATAAGTCAAAAAGAGAAAGACATGTATCATATGACCTCACTGATATGAGGAATTCTTTATCTCAGGAAAGAAACTGAGGGTTGCTGGAGTGGGGGGTGGGGTGGGAGGGATGGGGTGACTGGGTGATAGACACTGGGGAGGGTATATGCTCTGGTAAGCGCTGTGAATTGTGCAAGACTGTTGAATCTCAGATCTCTACCTCTGAAACAAATAATGCAATATATGTTAAGAGAAAAAAAGAAGAAGAAGAAGGTAGCAGGAGGGGAAGAATGAAGCAGGGGAAATCGGAGGGGTAGACGAACCATGAGAGATGATGGACTCTGAAAAACAAACTGAGGGTTCTAGAGGGGAGGGGGGTGGGAGGATGGGTTAGCCTGGTAATGGGTATTGAGGAGGGCACATTCTGCATGGAGCACTGGGTGTTATGCACAAACAATGAATCATGGAACACTACATCTAAAACTAATGATGTAATGTATGGGGATTAACATAAGAATAAAACAAACAAACAAACAAACAAACAAACAAAAAACCATGCCTCCTACCTGGATTATTGCAATAGCCACCAGCTGGTCTCCTTGCTTTGCCTCTTCTCTGTCATTCTCAACATTACAGCAGGAGCAATTCTTTTAAAAATGTGAATGAGACCCTCTCCTCAGAGCCCTCCAGGGCTTCCTACACCACACTGAGTAGAAGCTGAAGTGCTCAGAATGGCGTTGGTGCCCTCCCCAACCCGGGCTCCCTCTTTCTCCTGATTATGTCTCCTACTCCTTTCCTGCTTGCATCCTCTGTTCCAGCCACAGTGGCCTCCTCCTGCTACCTGAACATGGCAAACATGCCCCCACCTCTCAGCCAAGTACTGCATGGTTTGTCCCTCACTTTAGGCCTTGGCTTCTGTGTCAAGGGTTCCCAGGTCCACACTCAGATTTGAAGATTTGCTAGGGGGCCTCACTGGACTCAGCATGTAATTATACTCACGTGGTTATGATTTATTACAGTGAAAAGACACCAAGCAAAATCAGCATGGGAAAATGGATGGGGCAGTCTGTTGGGAACCAGGTACAAACTTCCAAGGTTCCTCTTCCAGTGGAGTCCCATGAGATCCTGATCTCCCCCAGATTTCGCCCCCCCCCAAAGGAATGTGACACCATTGTGAAATGTTATCTATCAGGGAAGCTCATTAGGGGCTCAGTGCCCAGTTTTTATTGGGGACTGGTCATGTAGGTAGCCTCTGCCTGCCATATACCAGAATTCCATACTCCCAGAAAGAAAGTAGGGATATAGTATAAAGCATGTTTTTTGCACAAACAGTTAAGGCATGGTGAGCCATTCTTATCAGGGGATGATAGGTACCCTCCTGACATTCCTAGATGGCACCCAAGGGCCAACCTTGAAAGCAGGCCTTGCAAGGACAACAGTCTTAGGCCTGTTATGTTAACATTTCTGCACTGCTTGGATGGCTTTCTTTCTTTCTTCTTTTCATTCTTTCTTTCTTTCATAAATATTCAGTTTATTGAGGTAACAATAAAGTCTAGTTTTTCCTTAAGCTTTCAAGTTCAACTACAAATCTTTTTGTTCCTTTTTTCCCCCTTTTAAAAAAAAATTTAAATTCAATTAATTAACATAATGTATTACTTGTTTCAGGGGTACAGGTCTGTGATTCATCAGTCTTATATAATACCCAGTGCTCATTACAACACATACCTTCCCCAGTGGACTTTGTGGATGGCACTTTCTCAGCAAACCCTTCTCTCACCCATCCTACTTAAAATAGAACGTCCTCCACCAGCATTTCCTACCCTCCTTTCCGTTTGACCTTTCTCCATAGCATGCATCACTAAGATATTATATAATCTACACACCTAATTGTTTATTGCCTGTGTCTCCTCTTAACATGTAAGCTTCATGAGGGCAGGGATTTTTGCTTCCTTGATTACCACCAAACCCCTAGCACCTAGGACAGTGTTTGGCACATGGGAGGTCCTCACTAGTATGTGATGAATGAATTAAAAATAGATAAACATGGAGGCACCTGGGTGGCTCAGTTGGTTAATGTCTGACTCTTGATTTCGGCTAAGGTCATGATCTCAGGGTCATGAGATTGAGCCCCACATCAAGCTCCACGCTGGGCATGGAGTCTACTTAGGATTCTCTCTCCCTCTCTTAAAAACAAAACAAAACAAAACAAATAAACACGGCACATGCGGTTAGAACAAAGCAAGGCATGCAGAGAGAGGTAGGAGGCGTGGTTGCTGGGCAGATGAAATCAGAGCAAACTGGGATTCTGAATCTTGTGAGTTGCAGGAAGGGGTTTAGATAAACATATTTCTTTTTTTTTTTTTTTTTAAAGATTTTATTTATTTATTTGAGAGAGAGAGAGAATGAGAGACAGAGAGCACGAGAGGGAAGAGGGTCAGAAGGAGAAGCAGACCCCCCGCCGAGCAGGGAGCCCGATGTGGGACTCGATCCCGGGACTCCAGGATCATGACCTGAGCTGAAGGCAGTTGCTTAACCAACTGAGCCACCCAGGCGCCCATAGATAAACATATTTCTTAAGTCTCATGATCCGCCACAGAGTTGTCCAAACCAGATCTTTACTAGTTTCCCAAATTCAGCTGACTCTTCTCTCTCCTCAGGGCCCCATGTCTGATCCTTTTACTTCTCCATTTAGTTGACAGGGGAATTCAGAATCTCCAGTTCTGGTCAGTATAACACTTCATGCTCTTCTGACAAAAACCTCCAACCGTTGTTAAGAGTTGAATTACTGGTACTATTTATTTAGTAATCTGAGTTCTCCATTAGATTGAAAATCATAGCTTGTTAACTGTATCCTCAGTGCCTAGCCCAGAACTCAACAGACATTTGAATGAGTGGTTTGCTCTTCTTCAGAGTGCAGGTGACCCTGGACTAGGCTAGACTTCCTGGAGACCTTGAACTGTGAAAGAGCTTTCCCAGGTTCTGTAGTCGCGACTCTCAGCCTAAGACCTGACATCTCCCCAGGCTCCCTCCAGGTTTGGAGCACATGGTAGGCAAATATCAGCCTCACCATGACCTGGCTTCTGATGCTTGGCTGTGGATGTTCACTTCACAGGAGCCCTTGGAAAAGGCCCAGCTGCTTGCAATAATGGGGGACCAGCTCATCCAAAGCCACCATTATGCAGTCGACTCCATCAGACCCAGATGTGTAGAGCTCAGGCACCTCTGTGATGACTTCATCAATGAAAGCAAGAAAAAGCATGACATTTTAGAGAAGTCCTTGGAGTTGCATAGACAGCTGGACAAGGTGAGCACAGCAAAGCCACGACCATGATGTTTGCTACATTTTCTGTACAGGAGTTTTAATCATACTCATCCTCCCTGCCCTACAGAATTGCTGAGAGGATAATTACTTCATGTAAAATAGTGCTCGAGAGGCATTAAAAACTGTACAGATTCTAGGTCAGAGAAGTATTGGAAGTCAAAAGTGCCCTCACCATCCCACCACATCCCATTAGAATGAACAAATGTTCATTTGCCTCTATGTGGACCTAGACTTAGAGTGTGTTTTGGCCTGGCCCCATGATTCCCTTTCAGGCAGAGAACGAAGCACTATATTAACAAAGTGCTTCTCTTTATGTATAGGCATTAATCCTTTTGGAGAAGCTTAAGTAATAATGACCATTATACACTTCTACCATTTATTGAGCACCTACTGTGTTCCTGCCAGAAACATAATTATGTCATCTATTCAATCCTCAATAAAACCTACGAGGAAGGTATTAATGACATTATTTTATAGAGGCAGAAACTGATATTCAGTGTGGTTAAATCAGTGGTTCACAACATTTTTTTAAAAAGATTTATTTATTTATTTGACAGGGACACAGCAAGAGAGGGAACACAAGCAGGGGGAGTGGGAGAGGGAGAAGCAGGCTTCCCGCTGAGCAGGGAGCCCGATGTGGGGCTTGATCCCAGGACCTTGGATCATGACCTGAGCCGAAGGCAGACACTAACGACTGAGCCACCCAGGCGCCCCTGGTTCACAATATTTAATACATGAGAACCAGTTTGCTAGAATTGTAGACTCTCTAATGTGCCATTCCGGAGACTGAGATTCAGTAAAGTCTAGGATGATGCCCAGGAATCAGTATTTTCACCAAGTTTCCAGGTGACTCTGGTGCAGGTGGTACAGGGACGACACTGAGCAACTGTGGGATAAGTGATTGCCCACAACCACCCCCAGGGTAAAAATAGGAGATTGCAGATTTGAAGTCAGGACTGCCATATTCCAAACCCCAGGCTCCCTAGACTAGACAGCAACACTGTGTGCAGAGGGCTCACAGGGAAGGGGCACAGCCCCTGCTGCCCTTCAGTGGTGATCTCTGGGGCAGGTGTCTGGGGCAGTGACTTCTGGAGCTTTCCCTGTCAGCTGTTTGCAGGCAGCATGTGACTCATGGCCATGAGTCAGCATACTCCATTCCCAAAGCTGTTTCTCTGTGATGGCTAGGGGCACACACCCAGGCTGTTTATGTCATCCCAATGCCAAAGGGATTGTAATGTCAATGAAATACAACTGTTCCAGAAGCAAGTGGCTCAGAAGGGCCTGGTCCACAGCCTGCTCTGTGTGCTGAACTCTGCAGGATCAGCTGTGGTTTTCCTCACTCCATTTCTGCTCCAGAGATAATAGCCTAATGCTGATGTGTGGAGTGTGTGTGTGTCTGGGAGAGTAAGTATCCTCTGTGACTCTGTGGAAGAACCCAACTTAATGTTTTCTATAGATTTAGGCATGATGTTTCAAGAGAAATATATCAAAGCACGTATATATCATGCATATAGAGCATATATCTAAAATTATAGAGTATATATTAAAGCATGATTTACATTATTTTGAAAATCCAAAAATGTAGGAAGGAGGAGGAGAAGAGTTACTGTGGACACCTACACGTCCCATTCCCTTCCTCATCCCTACACAGAGATAATCATTAATTTTTAAATATATTATGTTTTGTTATTCTAAAAGTAGTACACATTCAATGTAAGTAATTTAAAGGACAAAATAAAGACAAATAGAAGTTGCCCATAATTTTCCCACTTAGAGCTAACTACTTCGGAGTGCTCCCTTTTGCTCTTTTCCCCCATATGGTTATTTTATGTAGCTCTTCAGGTCACACAGTAAATGGAAATGCAGACATACTTGCACTGGTGCTTCTTTCCACATAAATATTCAGGCAGCACAAGGGCCCCTGTCTTTCTGTTTAAGTCTTTTAAAAATTGAATTGTTAGAGTTCGTCACCTATCTGATTCCATCCCAGCATTCTGGAAAGTTTGAATATTGCTATCCTGAGTTACAAAGCTTTGCATTCTTGGATGCTTCTCTAGGACAGACAAATGCCAGTAAATGCAAATGTGGACAGAGGAAAGTAGTGTTTTTGTTAAGAGGGACACTCTAATGCCCCATTTGTCACCCTATGCTCTTATAATCAATTAGGATACAAGATGAGTAGCCTAGAAGGCAAACTGAAAAGTCATTGGTTACATCCCTCAATGGTGAGACCAAATTTAGGAATACCTAACTCTTTTGGAGATGTAGCAATTACTGTCAGTGGAAAAGAGAAGAATGTTTATACAAGTCTTCTTACTGACTGGATGACTTCCCTGAGAAATGGACAGACATAAAATTAGTTTGGGTTTGTCCACCGTAGAGTTGTGTTAGGAGTGGTTAGACTTATGAACTTTATGCTGTCCCACAACAATTTTCCGTTGTCTCAGGATCCTTCTAGACCACAGATAAGCTCAGGCGTCCTGAGGGTTGTGGTGGCTGAGTTGTGGTCAGGCTGACTGTGTAGGGCACTGTGTTTCTTTTGAAAGGTCAGCCAGTGGTGTGAAGCAGGAATCTACCTTTTGGCTTCCCAAGCTGTAGACAAATGCCAGTCACGAGAGGGGGTTGACGTTGCCTTGAACGACATTGAGGCATTCCTGAGTACAGCGAAGGAGTACCAGTTGCCCAGCCACATGGAGTTTTACAGCCAGTTCGAGTTGATACTCACCATTGACGTCAAGGTAATGTTTCTGGGTTATTTTAATCTTGTGGTTGGAAAGGAAGCACTGGGTGGCCTTTTGCCTATTGCTTAAGAAAGTCCCGGTAGGATGTACTGAGCAGGCTCACCAGTTCCTGAGTCTCAGGTGGCATCCTAGCCTCTGTGCTTCCTGGCAATCTGACCCTTCATGGTCTGACCCAAATAACACCTTCAGTAATTCGTTTCTCTCCAGATGCTCATGAGCATCTCTGATGTATCATGCACTGTGCTGAGGACACAGCAATGAGAAGAAATAAACACGGTTCCATCCCTGATGGAATTTAGTGGGAGAGGCTGACATTAATAAATGTCAAACACAAAACGTAAGAATGTGTTACAAGCTGAGATAAGTACTGGGAAGGAGAGATTTAGGATCATGTGATAGAAGAACTTGACCTTGATTGGGGATCACTTGAGCCAAGTCCTGGAGAATGAGTAGAGATAATGGGGGAGCCTTTCCAGACCAGAAGTAATAGCATGTGCAGAGGACACAGGGCTGGAGGGAAGCTGGCACAAGTGCAGAACCCAAAGGCCAGGGTGGCTGGAGTACAGAGAGCAAACGAAGGGGGTTTGGGGTGAGATAAGAGAGGGGCAGATGAGGCAGAACTTTAAGGGCCACATTGAGGAGTTTGGGTTTTATTCTAAGAGCACTGGGAAGTCACTGAAGGATTTAAGCAGGGGAATAACTTGATTGGATTTGCATTTTGAGAGGAGCACTGTTCTATGAAGTCAGCAGAATTATGGATAGCCCATCTTCCTCCAAGATTCACATCACCTTGTATGTATCTCTCCCGTAGGACCTTCTTTACTTCTTTTGAGTCACAGAATCTGATTCACATACTTTCAGGGTTCTTGCATACTCAGAGTGATTGAAGGGAGTTTGAGGTAGGCACTTTTTACCAAGATATGGGCAGGATTTAGGGAACCCAGTAGGGATGGTGAAGGTCCCTGGGGCTACAAGCAAGAAACAGGAAGCAGTTACCACCCATAAGCATAAAGGGCAAAGGAGAACCCAGGAGGCACTGTAGCTGTGACCGTGAGAGGCGCTAGTAAGGGCTGTGGTCTTGGCCAGAGGGGTGCAACCACCGATGGGGGAATATATATCCCTACTCTCCTTGCTCTCTCTTTTGGATTTCCTGGTAGTGCTTCCTATTGGCCAAGGCAATTAAAAGCCCATGGGCAAGTGAGCCTATTCAACAGAGTCTGTAGAGGTCAGCTTCCTGGGACACAGAGCTGGGAAAAAAAGATGTAGTAGGGTGACAAATAGGGAATATCCAGCATATATAACTTTTCTAATTAATTTTATGGGATACCCTAAAGTCCATCCATGGATTCAGGCTAATAGCCTTTGCTATAATATGTTACATACCGTACTGTATTCTACTTACTCTATTTTTTTTTTTAAAGATTTTATTTATTTATTTGACACAGAGAGAGACACACAGCAAGAGAGAGGGAACACAAGCAGGGGGAGTGGGAGAGAAAGAAGCAGGCTTCCCATGGAGCAGGGAGCCCAATGCGGGGCTCGATCCCAGGACCCTGGGATCATGACCTGAGCCGAAGGCGGACACTTAACGACTGAGCCACCCAGGTGCCCCTGAAGGCAGACGCTTAACCGACTGAGCCACCCAGGCACCCCTACTTATTTACTTTAAATGTCTGTCTTGCTTATTACACTGGGAGCTCCTGAAGGGCAGGAGCCTCATTTATTTCTGTGTCCCTGTGCCTAGCTTTTGCCTGGGGTCCAGTCCGTATTTGTTGAGCAAGCGGGCAGGCAGGTGGCAGAGTGGGCCAAGTACAGTGGAGGCAGCTCAATGTGGAGTTGTACCTTAATGATGTTCTTTCCCTGAAACCTTTTGGTGGTAAGGTGTGATCTTGGTAAGGGATGGGGGATGGGTAGGCAGACACCTTCCCCCAACACAAGGACTTCCTTGCAGAGGGAACAAAGGGACAGCCCTCTGGTGGAGGTTCTACACTGCAGACCCAGTGTTGGTAGCTCCAGGTCAGATTCCTAAGGCAGGATAGTCTCACCCAGCTCCAACTCCATTAGCTGCTCAAATGAGTGTATTAGGTCAACCAGGGAGATTTGTGGCTACAGCTGCTGTTCTGGCCACAACTTCAGCAAACTTCCTGGCCATACCACCTACCAGGAAACGAATAAAACTTAATAAACCATCTCTGGAAAATAAGCAGAAACATGGAGGAAGGAGAGGATTATAAGAGAAATATTTTTTTAAATCCTATATGTCAAATGGATCAAAATAGCCCCCAAACCCATCTTTTCTTCTTTTGGTTTGGAGTAAAATTTTAGGTTATAAAACTTAAATATCCTGTTGTGTCAGAGAAAGTTTTGTCCACTGAGAAGTAATGACTTTGCTGTCAAAACTGGTACTCTATACATATAGAAATATTATTCCTAGCTATATGTGTATGTAGATATGGTACAGACACATGTATCTTTTTATTTTGACAACTGAGATAGCCTAGAAGCGGACACCCCCCAGTGTCAATGAGCACATCTAGCACTGAGATCTTGGTTTCTAATACCATTCTTCAATAAAAGACTCCGGAGCTCCTTGGAGAAATGGCTGATTCTAGGGCTAGGGCAGGGAATATACAAGATGATCCTAGAGCATCTTGTAGTGCCAGAAGGAACTACTAAAAACAAAACAACAAACCACAGTGATGGGACATAGGCAGCAACCGAAAAGAACGCCCATGGCCAATGCTAGAACAATTTGAGCAATAAAGTTAATAAAGTGGTTTTGGATTACAACCCAAAGTATAAAATACATATCCATGAATCCATTCTCTTATAAATAAATGATGGAATAAATAAATAAATAAATGGGGCAGAAGAAACTCATCTCCCGTGCAGAAGCATTCTAAATTATTTATGTAGTTACTTTGCCCTCAAGGAGGTAGAGCATAATTTCCCAACCCTTAAATGTGGTCTGTACATAGTGACTTCCTTTCAAAGAATACAGTATGGGGAGGGAGAAACAAAAAGTGACTTTATGGTGAAGTTACTTTACACACACGACCTCAGCTAGGTGGCATAGGTCAACATCAACAGTGTTGTCATGCAGAAATGATGTACTTTGATATGATGTGATGAACATGACACTTTATTTCCATGATCTTACCCCCACAACCCATAGCTCTGGGCTAATTATGAGAAAAACATCAGATAAATCCCAACTAAGGGACATGCTACAAAATATCTGACCAATACTCCTCAAGATAGTCAAGGTCATCAAAAACCAGGAAAAGCTGAGAAACTGTCACAGCCAAGAGGAATCTAAGAAGTCATGACAACTACATGTAATGTGTCCTGGATGGGACCCTGGGGGGAAAAGTGCATTAGGTAAAATTAGTTTTAACTAATTCTAAGTTTTAACTAATTTAACTAAGTCTAACTAACGTATGGACTTTATTTAATAATAATATTTTATTTATTTATTTATTTATTTATATAAAATAAATATTTATAATATTTATTTTAATAATAAAAATAGCAATCAATATTCTATTAATTGTAAGAAATATACCATACTAATGAAAACTGTTAAGATAGGAGAAACTGGGTGGTCTATATGGGAACTCTGTGTACTATTTTTTACTTTTTTCTGAAATTCTAAAACTATTTGAAGAAGTAAAATTTATTTCTAAAACACTGGTACTCTATGTCTAAACAATTGAATCTGTTACATTTAAGACATAGTGATTATCAAAACTACATCTACAATTAAACTGTTGTTCTTGTACCAGGCACCCTGTCTGTCTGAGGCTCTTCAAGTGCTTTTCTGCAATACATTGCTACTCCATCACTCTCTTGGTGCTGCTGTTTTGATTTTTTTCCCTTGTTCACTTTCACCACCCAGCCTAGAAAATGAAACAATCGAAGTAACAAATAGCAACATTCAATTCTTTAAATATTCACTGGGAACCCAGTTTGTGCTTTGTTCCCGGACTACAATAATGAAAGTCACAATCCCTATCATGAAGGGGGTGGCAGTTTAGTGGAAGACAAACATGTCTCCAGTAAGTGCCTGTTGGTCCAAGAGCATGGAATGGAAGAGACAGTGGGGCACGTAGGGGAGGTAAAGGTCAGCTCAGCCTGGGAGGTCAGGGTGTCATAGGAGAAGATGCCTAAATTTGGTCTGGAAGATTGGGTAGGAGTTTTCAAGGGAGACAAAGCAGAGGGAGGGAACCTCAGCAGAAGGAAGAGGTGGTGCAAAGGCAGAGAGACTGGAAACAAGAACATTCCTGGAACTGCCATAGCTGGAGGCTGGAGGTAGGGGTGGGGACTAGTGGAAGTTAGACTGGACAGAAATCAGGGTAGTTAATGAAGGGTCCAGTGTTTCATGAGGAGTCTGGACTGTATCCCAGCAGGGCATTTAAACAAGGAAGTTACCTGATTAGATTTAGCTCCAGGAAAGCTAATTCTGATTGTGGTATGAAGAATGGATTTGCAAGTAAAAAGACTTCTCCTCTTCTGAGCTGAGGGATTTAGGGTTTCTTCTGACCACCTCACCATTTCCAGGATTCACCCTGGGATCTTAAGGGAGAGATGCAAAAGGGCAAAGGTGATTCAAGTCCTGTCCTGTCCAAGTGGTGAGCCGGGAGCTCCAGCATGTGGCACTGACCTCACATCAGGGCTGTATACCATACACCACTGATTTGACAGTCATTCTTTCGGTCAGATTTCTTGATATTTGTGCAGCAGTTAACACCTGTGACTCAGTTTCCTAGCTTATCACTGGGCTGGCCACCAGGTCTCATCACCGTCACCCCAGAAACACAAACTGACATTGCCTAATCCTGACATAAGGGGATTTGGTTTCTTTTGGGATCTGAACTCAGCTGTTTTGTCAGAACCTCTAGTCGGCTGTACAACTGAGCTTCCTGAGGCCAGAAGCACATTCTCTGAAGAGACATTTTATTTTTATTTATTTTTATTTTTTTAAAGATTTTATTTATTTATTTGACACAGAGAGAGACAGCGAGAGAGGGACACAAGCAGGGGGAGTGGGAGAGGGAGAAGCAGGCTTCCCGCTGAGCCGGGAGCCCAATGCGGAACTTGATCCGGGATCATGACCTGAGCCGAAGGCAGACACTTAACCGACTGAGCCACCCAAGTGCCCCTGAAGAGACCTTTTAAATACAAGCCCCACCTTGTGGTGTGTGTATTTGCACAGGGTCTGCAAACTATAGCCTGTGCGCCAAAACTGCTTGCCACCTACTTTTATAAAGTTTTATCAGAACACAGCCACACTCATTCATTTACGGAGTATATGTTATCTCTGACTGCTTTTATGCTACAACATCAGAGGTCAGTAGTCGTAACAGAGACCAGATGGTCTGCAAAGCCTGAAATACTTACTCTTTGGTCCTTTACAGAAAAATTTTGCTGACCGTCCAGGTCTGTACTCAGACCCCACGAGGACTGAGACCAGCACTAGATGTTGGAGGAGAGGTCAGCCTTGACAGGACCCTCAGGCTGTAGGTGAACGGTTGTTCCGTAACTGACAGGGTAGTCCTCCCTCAGGGCTCTTGGCTCTTTCCCTCAGAAGATGGCCCTACATAAAAAAAGACACATTTACTTTTCCACTTGCGAAATGTGGCAACCTCCCCAAGTGTGTGCTGAGCCTGTACTTTCGGGATGAGGCATCCTCAGAGCACCCTGCATGGCTTGTGGTGGTTGAGCTCTTCTAATTTGGGGTCCTTTCCTTGGTGGCTAAAATCATCCAGGAGACGGATGTTAGACGTGAGATGTCTGACATCCGTCACAGTTGGCATGACAAAGAAGAGACTACCCACTTCCCTTGATCTGCCAGAGGTCAGAGGCCAGAAGAAACATATTTAGCTAAATTTAGGCCTTGGTGAAATTCGAAGACTTCCAGGCCTTGTTTCTTATTCTCTTGGACCTTTGCCTTAGAACATATAGTCAGTTATGGGAATGTCTGGGAGTTTCATCTTTCCCTTGGTATTTTTTCAGCTTACTTCTTTACTACTCATGAATAGAGAAGGTGTCCCACAGAATAAAATTTAAATGTTTCTCCTAGGGTGTTTGGGGTTCCCTTGATCCTGCCTCAGTATATAGCCAACTCTTTCCCCCAGAACACTTAAACTCTTTTCTGCTTCAGGGCCTTTATTCGGGGTATACCTCTTATTTTGAAACCTTCCTGTTTTGTAAAGTGGCCTAATGTCCTTTATTCATAGTCTGTGGCATCCTCTTCTACTACTAATGGACGTGGCTTCATGAACATTTATCCGCTTAATATATATTTACTGAGTGCTACTCTGTGCTAGGCAGTGTTCTAGGCATGGAGATACAATAGTGAAAAGGATATGATTGTTGTCCATCAAGTGAGAGATGCAGACTCGCAGAATCACAATTCTGGTGCAGGGCGAGTTGTGCCATGACTTGCGTATGGATAGAAGGGTCACCTGAAGGAAGTGAAACTGGGGGAAGAGGGGAAGAAGGGAGAAAGGGAAAGCTTCATGTCCTCAGGCTCAGTGCAGAGTGACCTGGTCATGATTTGCTTTTGTTCTTACAGGCCAGAGCCCAGGAAGTCCTGCAGAAGCTGGGCGATGTGCAGGAAATATTTCACAAGAGGCAAATGAGTCTGATGAAACTGGCCGCCAGACAAACTCGCCCAGTGCAACCTGTGGCCCCCCATCCTGAGTCCTCCCCAAAATGGGTGTCACCAAAAACCAGCCAGCCCTGCACCTTAGGTAGGTTATTTGGGGGGAGGAATCTTTGTGCCCTTATGTTTCATCTGTGCTCATGAGGGTTGAGATTGTGCCTGTTTAAGATGCATAAATGGTTGTTGTTTTGACAAATATTATTTAAAATAAACTACAGATATGGAATAGTAAGGCATTGAAGACTTTATAGAGTTAGATAAAACTGAGTGCCTGTGTACAAGGAGACACTCACAGTCTAGAGGAGGAATAATATAAATGTGCAAATAACATCAGCATGAAATAGACTCCATTAAGGACCTTTAAAATGCTCACAAGATTCTATTATCAGTCCAGTGGTAAAATTGGTTCTTTGTAAAGAATAAAACAATAGATAAGTCCTTACACCAGTCCTGCATGGTCTTGATTATGAGAGCTTATTAGTAAGTCTTGAGATCAGGTAGTGTTAAGTCTTCCAACTTTGTTCTTTGTCAAGATTATTTTGGCTATTTTAGGTCCTTTCCATTTCCATATAAATTTTAGACTCACTTTTTAATTTCTGCTGAGATTATGCTTGAGGTTGCACTAAATTTATAGATCAGTTTGGGGAGAATTGTTATCATACCAATATCGAATCTTACAATTCATAAATGTTATAACTATTTATTTAGGTCTTCTCTAATTTCTCTTGGCAGTATAGAAGTTTTTTGGTTTTGGTTTTGGTTTGCTCTTTTTTTAAGTTTTTATTTAAGTTCCAGTTAGTTAACATACAGTGTAATATCAGTTTCAGGTGTGCAATATAGTGATTCAGTACTTGCATACATCACCTGGTGCTCATCAGAGCAAGTGCTCTTCTTTTTTTTTTTTTTTTTTAAGATTTTATTTATTTATTCATTAGAGACAGAGAGAGAAGCAGAGGGAGAAGCAGGCTCCCAAGGAGCAGGGAGCCCGATGCGGGACTCGATCCCAGGACCCTGAGGTCATGACCTGAGCCAAAGGCAGACGCTTAACCATCTGAGCCACCCAGGCGCCCAGCAAGTGCTCTTCTTAATCCCCATCACTTGTTTAACCCATCCCCTGCCCACCCCCTCTGGTAACCGTCAGTTTGGTCTCTATAGCTTGAGTCTGTTTCTTGGTTTCCCTCTCTCTCGTTTTTTTCCCCTTTGCTCATTTGATTTGTTTCCTAAATTTCACATACGAGTGAAATCATATGGTATTTGGCAGTATAGTAGGTTTGAGTGTAGAGGTCTTAGGCATTTCATGTTTTTTTTTAAAACTGTATTAAATGGAATTTACCATATTTAACTATTAATAGGAATATATTTCTGTATAAGATACAACCAGGTCATCTGTGAATAGAGACCTTCTGTTTCAATCTTTATGCTTTTTTCCCCTTGCCTTACTATAATGGCCGAAACCTCCAATACAGTGTTGAATAGACATGGTGAGAGCAGACATCCTTGTCTTTCCCAATGTTAAGGCAAAGAGTTCCTTTTTTACTTTAAAGTATGATGTTAACAGTAAGTTTTTCACAGAGGCCTTTTATCAGATTGAGGAATTTCCCTTCTCTTCCTACTTTGATGAGAGTTTTCATCATGAATGATTGTTGACTTTTTTCAGATGCTCTTTTTGGTGCATCTGTTGAAATGATTATATAGTTTTTCTCCTTTATTTGTTAATATGGTGGATTACAATGATTTATTTTCAAATGTTAAAACAATTGTACATTCCTGGGGTAAACTACTCTTGGATATGTTATATATGTTATTTGTTACTCTGTGATTTGAAACTCTGTTATTAAGCACATACATGTTCATAATTGTTATGTCTTCCAGATATTCTGGCCCTCTTCTAATTAGGAAACATCTCTCCTTCCCTCCTTATCTTTTTTTTTTTTTTTAAAGATTTTATTTATTTGACAGAGAGAGACACAGTGAGAGAGGGAACACAAGCAGGGGAAGTGGGAGAGGGAGAAGCAGGCTTCCCACTGAGCAGGAAGCCCAATGCGGGACTCGATCCCAGGACCCTGGGATCAGCACCTGAGCCGAAGGCAGACACTTAACAACTGAGCCACCCAGGTGCCCCTTCCCTCCTTATCTTTAGTAATACTCCTTGTCCTGAAGTCTATTTTGTCTGATACTAATATAGCATTCCAGCTTTCTTATGTTTAGTGTTTGCATAATATATTTTTTCCATTCTTCTATTTCTTTGTTTTTAAAGTAGATTTCTTGTAAGATATGCTTATATTTGGGTCTTGACTTTTTTTAAAAAAGATTTTATTTATTTGAGAGAGAGAGAGCATGCACAAAAGAGTGCACGGGGGGTGGGGGGGGCAGAGGGAGAGGGAGAGGCAGGCTTCCTGCTGAGCAGGGAGCCCCAGGCAGGGCTCAGGGCTCGATCCCAGGACCCTGGGATCATGACCCAAGTGGAAAGCACGTGCTTAACTGACTGAGCCACCCAAGTGCCCCAATTGGGTCTTTACTTTTTAATACATTCTGTTAACCTCTGCCTTCTGATTGGAGTATTTAGTCCATTTATATACAATGTAATTATTGATATAGTTGGATTTAGAGCTATAATTTTGTTATTTGTTGTTTATTTTCTCATTTTTTCACTCTGTTCCTCCTTTTCTGTCTTCTTTTGGGTTAGCAATTTTTTTTTTAGTGTTCTTTTTAATTCTTAGCATACCTCTTTGCATTGTTTTTCTCAGATATATGCTTATGTATAGTCTTTTATATTTTATATATAGTCTTTTACATCTACTCTCTTATTCAGTCATTTCCAGTGTTCTTTTTATTCCTTATTGTAGATCTGAATCATCACTTTGTGTCATTCTCTTCAGGCTACAGAGCTTCCTATGCATTTCTTGTGCAGATCTGTTGACAACAGATTCTTTTGGTTTTTATTTATCTGAAAATTATGGGGTCTTGGTACTTCTCCATTTCATTTGGTTTACAGTCCCCTGTCGCCCATCACATATTGCACTTTTTAGAAGCAGCCTTGATAAGAGTTTAGTGCATTTTTTTCTTGAATTTTCTGTGCACACACATACACACACACTCAACACACACAACCATGCACACTCAATACACTTATGCTCACATCCTGCTCACACAAACAGATACACACATAGAGACATCTTTTTGGATCGCTAGAAATAGGACTTGATTCTCCTTAATTCTCATTTAGGGCTCTTTCCCAAAAATAAATTATGTTCACTTCTGTGATTTTTCTTATGTCATTGTTTTAAGGGTTATATGTTTGTTACAAGTAAATAAAGCAGAATGATAGCTTGTTTCTCTCTCTCTCTTTTTATTTTTTCACAAGATCTCATAATGGACAATGACCCTATAGCATAAATAGATCTTTGTCATATCTGAACAGGTATCATTGACTTTGGCCAGACATCTTGCTCATTTTGCAGAACAATTCTGCACTTTTGTTTTGGATAGTAACGGCTGAGTATGGATTCAGGCAAGTCACTAACAGGATTTTCAAACACATTTTATCTGATTCCTTAGTAACTGAGTCTGTTCCAAGATAAACCATTATATTTCACAGTGTAAGGAACGTGAGGGAGCTGGAATCTTGGCTCTGACTCTTGTTAGCTGAGTGCCTTGGGTATGCAACATTTAACCTCTCTAAAGTTTATAAGGAATGTGAAAAAATTCTTTTGTGGCTATAATAATAGCTAAAATGTACTGTTTACCATGATCTAAACACTTTGCATATATTAACTCATTAAGCCTCATAACAACCCTCTACTGTAGGTTTTCTCATATTTCCATACTTTACAGATGAAGAAGCTAAGGCACAGAGATTACTCTGATAGATAGGTGTCTTGTACATGGAAGAGCAACACTTGAATGCTGGCAGTGTGGCTCCTTGCCCCAGCCTTGAACTTCATTGCTGTACTTACAGTGGGAAGGGTGGTGCTTCTCAGTCATGGATGTTGCCAGTTATAATGTACGTACTCCTAGCATCTAGTTATTATGCCTAGAATCACTCAGCTTACAGGGATCTGGCAGAGAATGAGGAGCCCAAAGGATTGTTCATTCTTATGAAGTAGCTGCAGTGGTCATATAATAGGGGCAGCAAACAGTGCACTTCACTATAGATTTCAATAATACCTATGAAAAAATCCATAGAAAGCCCAAGTGGATTCCAGTTGACTCACAGAACCTGAGGGTTGGGAGGAATCTCTGGAGGCCACTGTTCACCACAGATAAGAATCAGAGTGATATGTTGGGGGCATTAGGTGGATGGCATTTTGGCCATGGGACCTAGAAATGCTCAGATTCTTAGGTTGTTCACAGGTATCCTGTGACTTTTCCAAGGGAATTGTATATACAGGGGTGTTGACCGTGACAAGAACTCAAAGTATCACTTACTTATTTTTTTTTTTTAATTTATTTGTGAGAGAGAGAATGAGAGACAGAGAGCATGAGAGGGAGGAGGATCAGAGGGAGAAGCAGACTCCCTGCTGAGCAGGGAGCCCGATGCGGGACTCGATCCCGGGACTCCAGGATCATGACCTGAGCCGAAGGCAGTCGCTTAACCAACTGAGCCACCCAGGCGCCCAGTATCACTTACTTATTAGCCTTTCAGCCATCATCCCCAATGCGGCCCTCTGGTAATGCTGGGTTAGAAAGCCTCAAGGCCTAACCAGGGCTTCTCCTCCTCAAGTCCCATTCTTGTTGCCAAATGACCTTGGAGGCCTGAGGAAAGGATATCTCCCAGGTGTTGCAAGAGCTCTGTGGAAAGAAGGGGAGGGAGACAGAGTGACAGAGAGACAGAGAGAGGAGAGCAAGAATAAGACAGCCCAGTTCCATCCTGACTCAGCTAATTGATTCTTCACATAGTTGTCTCATCCACTAATGTGGTTCCTCAGTTCTAGAATCCAACTATTAGAGTAGCAACAATTTCTGGCTGGGGCAGACATAGACATCCTCTTATAGAATCATAGTATGATTATGTGAGTGTGGGGGGGTTGCGTGTGTGTGTGTGTGTGTGTGTGTGTGTATGTGTATGGAGAGACAGAGGGAGAGAACACTTTCAAGAAGACCGTAAGGAAATGGTTGTGTTTAAGTGGTAAGATTTTAGTATTTTTTAAATTGTCTATAATAAGCACAAATTAACTACCTGTGTAATAAAAAATATATTCAATAAATGTATTATCTAGAATTGAATCTGGTCTTCTAATCCAAGAGCAACATTCAACTGCGGTATTATATAGTACAAAGATAAATGCTAAAGCAGCAGTGCATAAAAGAATCCATGAAGTTTGAATGTCAAGGAAGACTTCTTAACTTGGGGGAAGGGTACGTGAGACCTCCCTGTATGTTTCTTTGCAACCTTATGTGAATCCGTAATTCAAAATACAAGAAAGTGACCTTTTCACTGAGCCTTAAAAATGGAAATGATGGGGGCGCCTGGGTGGCTCAGTCGTTAAGCGTCTGCCTTCAGCTCAGGTCGTGATCCCAGGGTCCTGGGATCGAGGCCCGCATCAGGCTCCCTGCCTGGCGGGAAGCCTGCTTCTCCCTTTCCCACTCCCCCTGCTTGTGTTCCCTCTCTAGCTGTCTCTCTCTCTCTCTCTGTCAAATAAATAAAATCTTTAAAAAAAAAAATGGAAATGATGGAAATCCTCTCGTTTTTACCACATTATGTTTATTGATTTGTTGTAGTTTGATGTTCCATGCAGTGTTGTGTGTAACTTTTGTCTCTTTGGATCAAATGTTAAATGCCTGGGGTCAAGGGCTGTTTCTTTTCTGCATCTCTCCTTCACCTCCAATTTCATCTCCCACCTTGCAAATCACCACAGCAGCTCAGTTAAGCTTTGTTATTCAGTTGGCCCAACCCAGTCCAGGTGCTCATCCAAGCCAGGCTATACGCTCTGGGTTATTTATAAGCTGAGTTGCCAAATTAATGGCATATTTTCTTTGTCTCTCTAGCTCCTCTTCAGAGGACATCTGAGGAAACTTATACAGGGACATTGGAAAAGGAAGACGATGAGACTAAATTTGAAGTCAAAGTAAGATCACCTTTCTCTTTTACAGTTAACGATTTCTGATATGAGAGAATATTGTTGCCATAATTACCAATAAATGAAGTTCCCCTATCCCATACCTATCACAGCTCCACATGATGTGGCCATAAAGACATGTTGCACAGACTAGTGCTCTCAAAAGCTGAGTTTTGTAGGATTTGTTCCTTTTCTTTCTTCTTAATTGCAACTAGAAAAACTGGTCATGGATGTAATTGTTGGTAGATATTATGTTATTGAGGGAAAAGTCATTTTGTGCATCCCTATACTCTTGACTTCATATTTAAAATTGGTAGAACAGTGTGTGGTTTGTGTACAAAAAACATGGCTGAATTGCATAGAGCTACACACACTCGCGTGTGTGTACCACCAGTGAACTCTGAATAAACTGTGTAAATTGTGTGAACATAGTTTTCTTGCTTTTAATACTATGCTTTATTTGTGTAAGGTATTAATATTAGAGGAACTTGGGGGAAGGGTACATGAGACCTCCCTGTATGTTTCTTTGCAACCTTATGTGAATCCATAATTACTTCAAAATACAAGTTTAAAAAAAAAAAGCATAAGCTTTGGAATCGGGCAGACCTGCATGGAAGCCACAGAAACCACTCTAAGCCTCCGTTTCTCATCTAGAAAAACGGGCATAACAACAGCTATCATCTGAAACTAATTTTGAGCAGCAAATGGAAATTTGAAAAGTGCCAAGCACCGTATAATTGTAAAGTAACATTATATTTAAATACCCAAATAAAAAATATGTTGCCGCAAAAGCAACCCTAGAAGGGGTCCATTTACCCCTGCCTCACTAAAAAGTGAGTATCTGGCTAATGGAACAGTTCTGAAAGCAGAAGCCGGTAGACCCTGGGTCACTTGCAGTTGAGCAACAGTTTGGACCCACCATCTGTGCCTAATGGGTCTGAATAGAGGACCCCACAGGTATTCCACCGACCATGTTGGAGTCAGGCAGAAAGCGGGTCTCAGACTTTTCTTCCTCAAGGCAGAAACAATGTGGCAAGTGGAGTTCCCAGCAGACTTTTCTTAGAGAGAGAAAGCTGCATTCTTCTGTCTGTTTGGTTATCCTTTCGTAGTTTAGGCAGACGAGGACATTGCTATCACTGTTTCAGAATCCCCTGTGGTGGGAGAAATTGCTTACCATGTCTTCCAGAGTTAAGTAACAGTCTGCAGTTTCACACAGTCGTGATCAGCCATTTAAAAGAGTAAAGAGCAATTTTTTGAAATGGGCAAATGTAATGAAACTTCGCCAGACTTGACATCCATGAAGTCTGTGGAATTATTGAGTGACATAAAAAGGGCTTAACCGTGATCACCTTCAAAACTGAGCATCACCCTACCCATCTCTGTACTCTGGGCTTCAGAGAATCTCATCTCTAAAGGTGAGAGCCATGTCAAGTGCACCAAAGCCCACATCCAGCCCCTGAACTTACGTGCTGTTGCTATTAACCCACAAATCAAAGTGATTTGCACGTACCTCACAGCTCTGTGATTTTCTTTGCCCATCTTTAGACAACATATTTATGGCCTACACACTTTATAAAGATGCCATAGGAGTTGCATGTACATGCATATTCTCATATGAGAGAATCCAAATTCGAGTGAATTATTTCAATAAGTGTGAATAGTAAAAATGAGTGCTGCTGTTTTATTGTTGGGGAAAAAAAGGAAATACAGTCAGTCAGTACAAAGCACCTTTTCTCAGGGAAGACCTGAGGATATTTAAGATGAAAGCTTCTCATAAGCTACACTTATTACTTACTTCGATTTTATTTTTGGTAAATACAGACAATGCAGAAACTAGGGCAGGGGAAGAATTAGAGGCCTATAGGGTTGGCACATGTTGAGTAGAATCCAAGAAGCTCTGACCACTAGACTTTGGTTTCTTCTTTTTTTGGCCTTGCTGCTTATTTAATTCAGACTCCAGGCCCATCCTCACCAACAGCATAGGTACTGGAAAGCCAGCACAAGCCCATGTTACAGTCGTCCTGGGCTTTTGTTGTTGTTTTTCCTTATTGTGACTTCGTCTGTGTATTTAATGCGGGGCTTTTCCTGCAACAACATGTATGTTAACAGTCAAGGCAGTGGAGGAAGCATTTTGGCAAACCGAGGCTGGCCAGACTTCTACTTCTAAACACCAAGGCTATGAGAAGTGTGAGCAGAATCCATATAGTTGTGAACGACCATGAGTAGGAAGGAAGATGGATTTTGAACTAAATCCCCAAATCCTAGACTTAAAAATCAATTCAGGACCAGTAAATGCCATTAGCATTTGACAAGGTAGGTAGTATAACTAGGGAAATCGTCATTCCAAAATATGTAAGAAAACTAGTAAAAAAAAAAAAATGGTAGGTTAGAAAAAAAGGTTTAGATTCATGTCTGTGTGATTTATGGTTTATTAGAAGGGGGGCAGGGAGGTTGACTAACATCAAGAACAATCATTGCTGCTTGTGTTTTGTGGCCGCTGTCCAGGACAGATGACCAGAATACATAACACTGAACTCTGGTGACACTCCTGACATCCTCGACCTGAGGCCTAGACCGCAAAGATGAAATCACAGTGCAAATCATAACATTGTGATAAATACCCCACCTTGCCTTCCTTGGGGAAATGCTCACAGACCAAAAAAAAAAAAAAAAGGAAATAAACCAAAACCACTCATGATTGCCACTACATTCACTGACACTCACTACAACAAAATCATGCTATGAATTTATCATCATCAGGGAACTCATTTCCAAAAAAGGTGTCCTGTCTTCTCAGGTGGAGTAATCCTTGCTTTACTGGTTGGAAGGAGCGTAAGCTGGCTGAGCTCTCGGGCCGTCTGGCAGCCGTGCGGCCATGCGCTAGACTCACTGACGTGGTCTGGGAAAGCCCAGCCGTGGAGGAGATTCGCTGTGGTTGCTGGCAGTGGTGATGTGGCTGGTTCGGGTCCTTTACATCACCAGCTGGAAGCTGAAAGCATGACTCACAGGAGCTGCTTTCTCAGGCTGCTCGCATCACAGCCTCTTCAGAGCTGGAAAGAGGCCAGAGGCTGATGAAAATTCCTTTTTCATGAATGTGAACCCTCAGGATAAAGGCTGAGCTACTGGCTGTGAGCACCAACAAACTGTTCTTGGGCACCTGTTAATGTGGCTTTAGCATAGCAGAGGACTTTTTAGGCTTGCAAGCAAACAGCCTCCTTCATAAAAATTAAAGGGAAAAAAAAAAAAAGCCAAGGCAGTAAGTTACAGAATGGGGAAGTGAGGGAAAGGTTGCTAACACCGATGAGGCCCAGACATTGTGCTGTGTCCTCTACGTACCCGATTTCATCAATACCTTGAGGAAGAAGATTGAGGAAGCTGATGTTTCCCTTGTTTTATCCATGATGCTGCTGAGACTCTGAGAAGTTAAGTAAGTTTCCCTAAGGGTCACACAACTAGCAAATGGTGGAATGGGGATTTGAAACTCGTAGTTTATTTAATCTAACAGTTTACTTATCTATCTAACTTAATCTATTTACCTATAACCTATTAGTTACTTAATCTGCCTATCAGTTGACTTAATCTCTCATACTCTAAATTTCCTCTTCTGCAAAATGGGGAAAAGCAACCTCACAGGTGGTTGATTAAATGAGAACTATATGACTTCAATGACAATGATAATGTTAACAAATCAAAATAAAAATATTTAAAACATGAGAATATATGGGGAGTACCTAGTATGAAGCCTCATATATAGCAGGTTAGTAATTTTAGTTTCCCATTTAATCCCGTGTTTATAGATAGAATGTTCTGTGTAAAAGATGAAAAGTAGCTGAAGGATGGTCAGATTCAGGTCTTAAATTGAATAGCTTCTCCTAATCTTGAATGTGTACTGTTTTGCCAAATGATAGCTGATCAGGCCCAAACTCAGTTCCTTGTTTTCTCACTCCTTTGAATCCCCAAAGCTTTCATTTACCTCTGATTCTCAACAGGAGAACTATATAAACTATAAGCACATTTCAGTGTTCACCCTCTATGATGCTTGACGTCTGGTCATTCAGAAAATCCACCAAATCTTTGAGGCAGCCCCCATCTAAGCTTTCTGAAGAATTTCTAGAACCAAGATTATCAAGGTTTCCTATGTATTGCAGCCCTGAGAAGCTTATTAATAATGCAGATTCTCAGTCTCTACCCTCAGATTGTGACTCAGGAGGGCCAGATATGGTCCAGGAATCTGAATTTTTAACTTTTAAATTTAAAATTTTTAATTTGGTACCTAGAATGCAGGTGGTATAAGGATTGCATTTTTGGTCACACTGGTCCAGAAGCTATATTCATAGTTCATAAAGACCTGGAATAAAGGAGAGCTCATTAAGGTGGCTATAGAACTCTTAGGCTAATATAGAGTCCAGAACTTAGTGAAGTAAGAGTGTGATTATATTAATCTATCAGAATGTACTTTCATTGAGGGAGCTATATGAAAAAGAAGAGAATAACAGTTAAGACCACTGTTGACTTTGCTCTTTGACCAATAAAAAACTGAGATGACTAAAATATTTCATTGGTCCAACCTGGGTGTCTTATTCAGCTCCATTTAATATATATTAAAGCAACTGCTATGGGTCATATGGAAACAATTCTAGCATGGGGCCTGAACTCAGGAAACTTACAAGTTTCATGAGCGAAACTACATATTTCAAATAATTTATAATGTAGAGAAGAATGACATACGTCCAGTAAAAGAAATATAACGTGTTAGAAGGCAGAAGAGGGAACAGTTCCTAACAACGATATTGGGGATATTTTATAAAGGAGATGGCATTTGAACTTAACTTTGAAAAATAAATACAACTTTGAAAGGTGGATAAGACAGAGAAGGGCAGTCAAGATGGGGAAGGATGTAAAGTCTCAAAAGTCTGAAAGGGCATAGGCCATTCTGAGAATGGTTCGAGAAAGCCAGAGAGGTAGACTGGAACAGGTTGCTAAAGGCTTTGGTTAGGAGTTGTTGCCAG